GCAAAGACATTTTTCAAAGAGCAAGGAAGGTACCACTATCATTTTATTTGGTGTTGGGCCACATATGCTTGAAGCGTAGGATAATGTAGACCAGCTCATTGAAAGACAATGTGAGAATGATGGAAGGACTTTTTCAGCTTAAAGAGAGAGAGAAACTGAAACATAGCCATAATAACATGTGAAGACAAGAGAGACAGAAATGCAAAAGGAAATATTTGTAGCAGGCAGAAGTGTTGGCAATACTTTGGTTGGAGGAAAGATCACCTTGGGTGCATAGAGGTTTACTGTCTTTAACAGTGAGGTTGATCAATCTGTGTGGCAGTTTGCCATATAAAGCGGGCGGAGACAAAATAATTAGTTGTCTTTAAGGAAAGGTTAAGTACATTTATGGGAAGACCAACATAAAACCATCATTTGGATTAGACCATCCATCCAAGTTCTCCCTTTCAAAGTGATCATTTATGGTTCTGTAATATAAATCGGACTAGAAAATGTTTCCTTTAAACTGCCATTAAAAAAGCCTGAATCCTAGGATTTTTAAAAGGTGCTTAATAGCCTAATAGATGCCAGTAATACTGAGGAAATTAATTCCTCACATAATTTGTGGAACATATCCAACACGTTTTACCCATTTGAGATGAAGATGATATTTGTAGTTTACACAACCTTATTTTGTTTTCTTATCCTACAGTGTGAAAAATTTGGTGCCGTGAATATACATATAGATTCCTAATAGTCAGCCAGTAAACAGAACATTTTTGTTACCATGTTAGTATATTACATTTTAAGTACTTTCCTGAGGGCAGTAAAGTAATTTTGCTTTCCGTAAAAAACTGAACTAGATTTTAGACTTCATTTCAATGAAGGGAGCTGCCTGTGTATATTCAAGAAAGAAAGCAAGAGAGGGAGAAACTGTCTCTGTATTAAGGCACTAGTTCTTATGGTTTTTGGAAGTGACAGAAAAAATTATTCTGTCTTCTGGCTGAAAGGGATATTTATAAAGAAAAATGGACATGGAGGCATTTTGCTGTGAGACAGACATACATCAAAATGAAGAACTCAGTTTCAGCCACACTGAGTTTGAAATGATAGTGACCCATTGAAGATTAAATGTCTGTGAGAGGGGAAATTCAAAACAGAGCCGCAGTTCAAGTTTATTTGAGAACTGTCCACATATGGATCGAGAAAGCATTTCCATATATTGCTGAGTGTGTGTAGAATCTATCTATATATGATCTCTATAACAGATATTAATATAACTCTCTATGTATTTCTACATATGATATCTATATATGGAGAACAGAAACAGATACAAGGAAAGTATATGCACCAGAAAAATGTATTCATGAGGAAATAAAACAAAAAAAATCCTTCACCAGTATAAAAAAGAGATACTTGGACAACTTACAAAACTTTAAAATCTCAATTTCTTCTAATACTGACAGTTTTGGCCTAAGCTCTGATCCTTAGAGCTGCCTGCTATTTTTAAAGCTTCGAAATGGCTGTGTTGAAGGCTCAAGGTGTTTGCAATAACTCAGGGAGAAGTTGGTGGCTGGCAAAAAATAAGTGAAAACCAATCCACACTCCTTTCTAGACTCATTACTGCTGTCGAAACTCTGGCTGTTATTTGATCTTCAATTTTATCTTAATCTCAGCTGGATTTTTTTGCTAAATAGAGAAGCAAGATGGTATTTTCACTGTTAGTGCTTTCTGCGGTTTTGTGCTGCTTTAATGAAAAGGTGCTGTGTTTACTGCTGTTGTATTCAATTCATAACTAACAGTGCTGTTGTTGCTGTATATAGATACCCACAGATGGGCATTTATTGTCTGCTATCTGTTTCCGGTCATGTGCAAAAAGTTTCCTGGGTTTTAATTTGCTCATCTTCTGACAAAGAAACCAGAACATTCCTCTCGTCACTTTTTTTTTTTGTTGAATTCCTCTGTCTTTTTTTATATGCCTCTACTCATACAAGAAATCAAGTTAACTTAACTATGTCATAGTCCCAGTTCACAGTTTCTTTTTGGGTTTCCCCTTAGCATTATCAATTTGTTATTCTATACGATTCTTTCCTTCTCTATACTGTTTCTAATCGGTTTTTCTGCTGCTAATTTTTTGTGTGTCTGGCTTATAAGTATGCCTTTGACTGCTCTTTTTAATGGTGATGTTAAACTATAAAATGAAACATAAACAAAGTTCTGTCTATCTTAACATGTTTACCTTGCATTTTGTCTAGGTCTATATAAACTTTACTTTGTTGCAGGATATTTTATAACCATCAGTCAAAAATGATCAGTTTTGATGAAATTTCTGCTATTCTATATCAGTGCATTTTTACCTAGTGAGTAAGGCACAGATGAAGAAACTGTCTCAAGGGTGCTGTTTCAGTTGCAAATGTAAAGATAATATTTTATAAAAATTGGTGCTATAAAAATAATTATTTGAGAAATAAAAAGAACCCAAACCAGAAGGAACATCTCATAGGAGTAATAAAGCAGAACATGCCAGAAGCAATCCTGTTTTCCATAGCCAGAAGCTCTTTTCCTCAATCTGGCACTGAGGACAAAAAAAATAGACACTGGCAAAGTATCAACCCTTTATACACATGTAATATCCAAAAAGTCCATTTCACAAAAATATACAGCCTCCTTCCTATGGTTTAGTTTATGACTCAGCTCTACATTTCCCAGGATGTTCTTTCAAGCCTCATCTTGAAATGAAACAATTTATAAGTGAAAAACAAATGTTCAATAATGCTACCACAATAATATATTCAGAATTGTACAGCTGGAAAAAACTTGCAGTCAGGAAGCCTGCATTCTCACGCAACAACAGGCACAACTTTTTACCTTGTAGTGGCTGTATCAGCCCTGAGATAAACTATAGCTTTAGAAAGGCAATTTTCAGTGAAAGATTTCCAGTGACACAAATTAACTGCTTCAGTAAGCTGATTCAGTACTTACTTAATACATATTAATACGGAATGCTCAGTTGATAGGAATGTTCTTATAAAATACGGGTTGAGATTAATTGAAATAGATTAAACAGGAATTTCATTGTTGTTGTCTCTGAAATACCTCCATTCCTTAGAGGTGAAAATTAAGAAGGGGGCTGAGGCTGAACTGAATTAGTGCTGATCTGTTTTTCCTCAAATCAGATCTAACTGACAAGGTTTTGCAAATCGAGTAAAAACAAATAACTTGACATCAAGAATGAGGATTTTTTATTCCCTGGGGAGTATGCTGAGCTCCTGCTTGTGCCGGAGCGTTTGTTGTTGACTCCCATTTCACAGAGAGAAAAGCTGAGAGGCACAGAGTGCCAACTCACACAGCACACTTGTGGCAAAGGCACACATACACAATCAGGTCTCCTGCATCCCTGTTTCTTCTTCTTACTATATTACCTCTTTTGGCATGAACCACAGACTTGGAGAAAGGAAGAAGGAAATTCAAGAGAAAAAAATAAATGTACTATATTCAGTACAGGTCAGGTTAAAAACTGGAACCGAGGATGGAGTTCTTCTGCATTCTGTATTTCCAGTCCTGACTGCTACTGGCAAGGGAGATACTGGTAATTTGTGTCAGAAGTGGACACATTTTCAGCTTCCTAAAATAATAGGAGCTATGGATCTTCTGCTTGAAGGTCCTTACATTGTCCTTACATTCTTGAAGTAATCATGTTCTGAGTTTGTCTTTTATCATCCATTTTTCTCTGCTACCATGAGTTATGCTAGCTAAAAATTGTTCACACTTGCAGGGCTTTGAGAATACTTGCAGGTCTTTTACAAACTAATTAAATGTTTCTTTTATGTATTGTTCGTGAATGTTGAACACATGCTCAAATGTGGTATTTCTCTTCCAAGTGCAATAATCCTTAGGCTTTTTGATCAAAACTGTGATTTTCTCACTGTTCCCTTCCCATCTTCAAACAAATATGTCATAAATCTTCTGAGCCCTGTTCTCGTGCATAATGTGATAACACTGAATAACTCAGTTTTCTGATTTAGTGATGTCCATCATTACAGTCATACAGATTTTGATCTATTCTCCCTTTTTGGACACCTTTCCTTAAGAAATTAATTTTCTAGATGGTGATATATGGTGGTCACAACAGGGCTTTGGGAACTATAATATAGAGCAAAGAATCTATCATGTATGAATTCACTGGCTTGCATTTTGCTTGCTATAGGTAACAGCTAAAAGCCTCTAGTGATAAAGAGAAGAATAAAAAGCTATCCCTTTAACTGCAGCTTTGCAGAGTAGTGGCAAGCAGATCCAGTATGAAAGATATCACATTGCTGTCAATTATGTCTGCATAAATGCAGAGAATTAGTGATTTATGCTAATATGACAACTCTATCTTATTATTATTTTGTCTGCTTATGTCTTATTTATATGGCTGTGTCTCATTTTAAATTTATAAATTTCTTAGGTCCAGGACTGTCTTTTTATTTGGTGTTTCTAAAATACCAGTCTCCATCATGGGCTCCTAGTCACTACAACAATGTCAAGATATACAGGTATTTTAATATTTATGTTGTATTAAACATCTGGCAATCTGGAATCTGACTGCACAGGGCACTGTATGAACATACAGAGAAAACATTTACACTCTTACTCAGAAAGACTATTGGAGCACACAAAAACCAAGACAAGACAACAGAACAGGATACAACTACATCCTAATAAAATGATGACACTGAACCTGAAAAGAGCACACTATTCCCATGCCTCTGGAGTTAGGATTTTCTTATTGTTTCAATGCTTTTTTGTTTGTTTTTGTTGTGCAAAATATGAGCATATACAGAATGTCTGTAAAGTTGTATCAATATATTATTCTCAAGGCTGAAAAGTAAAGCTCTCAATAGTTGGAAAATGCAAGCATTAAGATCTGTATGTAAACTTAATTTGGCTTTCTGTAATTATGCTTTCTAATTCCATCTGCAGTCTCATCATTACACACTGCGTTTTTTCAAGGCACATCTGCCTGACTGAGTACTCACCTTTTAAACAGCTTTTCGGTATTTTGTTTACTCGTGTGGCTCCTATGTCTTATCTTGTGCACTTTTCAAAATCTGTTGTAAAGACAGAATTATTGAACATTCTCTTAGACTTTTCATGCTGTTCATGTTAACAGCCAACATCTACACAAACAGAAACGAACCCCTCCGTAACAAAAGGCAGTGCTTCTTCATCCATTTTATATCTGGAGGACTGAGGAACAAAAGAATTTAAAATAAGTAGTTCCTGCTTAGTTTGAGTTGCCAATGGAAGATATTTTTTTCAGTGTATTTAGCACATTAGATATTCATAGCACGGCTCCCAAAGACATGAAAGGCGATGGTGAAAGCTTAACAATTCAGGATCAGGTGAGAGAGCCAGATAATGAGTAAAACATAATTAATCACCACACATGAGTAACTTGGCTCGAGTGACTTGCCTAGCATCGTACACAGCATCACAGAGTGGAGGCACAGATGGAAGATAATGCTGCAGAAGCTTTATTACAGAGATCAGACTTTCTCTTCTAGCTTCCCTCTGTACCTACCTTCGAACCTGTTGGCTTGCAGACCATATATTTTTCACACCACAGCCATAGCTCATTTTAACAACAGGTCTGTTCTACAAAACTGAGCCCAGATTCCTGTGGAAATAACAGTGTGTGACCTTTAATTAAACCTTCCATCATAATATGTCAAGGAAAAATTGCAAGGAGAAGTGCATTTCTGGTGGTACTGTCCCATTTTCAGTGTCAGTGTCTGTTACCTTTCCTTGGATTTCTCACACCAGTATCCTTTTGCAATCAGTCCCACTTTCTCCTTTCCTAATCCATATACAATCTGTCCTTCTCCTTCCTCTTCTCCAGCTGCAGCTCTGCTCTCACCTCTGTGACTGCCATGTCTCTTCTGATGCTCTTTGGCTACCTCCTTGGCCTCCCTGCCCCTTTTCCCATCTAAGTGGTTCTTCATCTGCCAGTCTGCAACAGTACATTTTCATACATTGCATCCTCCTGTTCCCCAAATCTGCAGGTTCCCCTGGTCCCACTTTGTCTGCAGTATCTGACCTTCTCGTAAAATCCAGAACCAGTCCTCTCTGCTCTGAGGCCTGAACTCCATCGATTTCTAGGTCTCATTTCCTTACACATTAGATCTAATCTCCCAACACTGCTAATCACTGGCTTTCAAGTCGCCTTCTGCTCATCACCTTAAACCTGATCTCCTTGTCTAGTAGTCCTGGTCTTCGTCTTGTTCCAGCTTCCCTTTCTGAGTCTGCTTACCTTTTTCAGACTCCAGTCTCATCCTCTCTTCACAGACCTTGCACTCCAGTCCCTAGCCTGTAACACTCGCAGCATAAACAAACCTGTTGGGGTCCTATCTGGTAAATTAAGAAGTCTCTGTTGAGCGCGTCCAAATGACAGTTTTTCAGAAGCTTACATCTTAGCCAGAAAAGAGCACATATTCATAAGGAAAGCAGAAAATGTCCCCTTAAGGAAACTTCAGCATATCCTGCCAAACTGCAAATCCCTGCTCTGTAGCATGGTGGTAGGTTAAGGTGTGGGAAGGTTGTTTGAAAAATGTTTTTTTAAGATTACTCTAATTTTGGCCCATCCTTCTCCTCAGTCTTTGAAATTTGTTATGATTTTTGGCCAGAATGGTTACATACACTTAAGGAAAATACCTTTCTGAGGCAATTCATTGGTGCAGAGATTTCCAGCTTGAATAGTTATAAGTTAGGTTGAGTTCTAGCCTGTCTGAAAACAAGGTCACATGAGAGAAAGTATCTTGCAACAGCGAGGATAGGTAATGCTGGAACAGCCCTGTCTAAAGTAATGGAGAATAGCAGGGTGTATGTGAGCTAGTAAGAGCATGGGAATAGAAGATGAAGTGTTACAGAATACAGAAAAAAATGGGAAGGAGAAAAGGAGGAAAGAATGGGAATGACAGAAACTGTGAGCAAGAAGAGAGGGGCTGGAACAGCAAGGAAAGTACGGGACAGAAGAAGACAGAAATGAGAATTGCTCAGCTGACACTGAGTGTCTCACTCCTGAATGAACTCCCTCATTCACCTCTCCCACTATGCCCCCATGTTTCCCAGTTATTTTGCCGCTCGCGTTAGGCTCAGCCATTCTTGCCCTGTTGCCTTTAGCTGTGTTGTTTCCCACTGCTCTTCTAGGCTTCTTTGGAGAAGACAAGACTGTCGCTGGCTCCTGGCAGTTGCTTTCACTTCAAGGCAGGTCTTCACCCTCCAAGCCCATAGAGCTGAGCCTCTGCATGTCTCCAGGCAGGCACATGGGCTGTGTGCCTCCCCAAGAGTAATGCACCAAATAGCAAATTAGGGAGGGAACCCAGCTCAGTTTCCCACAGGAGCCCGAACGCACGTTCATGCTAGTGCTAAGGTTTCTCTTACAAGCTGTGCAACAATGAAACCGAGCAAGAGTGGGATGACCCATTTGTTTGGTTGCCATGACAACATGTTACAGCACGCAGAACAGTGCTCTGAGCAGCCTTACTGCTCACGATACCCTAAATAAATATAATGTAAAAGAATCTTCCATTGTCATTGCACTGCACTGCATTGACCTCTGTGAGGTGAGAGGTGCAGCTCACGTACGGTGATACAGGTCCCTTGCTCAGAATAGCATTTCTTCGAAAAGAGATTGTTTTATTCAAGAGAAAGTCAATGAACTAGGTGGGGATTAATTTACTTATTTGAAATTAGAAGGGTCATTTAATTTTTAGTGCTAGCATAATACTGCAAAGTACATAAGGAAAGCCAATAGTGGGTTATAGACACAGGGCAGAACTGTATTCACATTGCAGCAGAAAGGAAAATGTTTTCTCTGGAGTGGAAACTGCTGACATCTGTAAGTGGGTAAGAATTAAAAACATGTAAAGATATGTTTGAGGTCTGATTTAGAGCAGTGGGTAAAGACACTTCTGTATCTGATACAGCTGAGGACAGGCAGTGCTTGCTCTGCCTACCATGAGGAACTACCTCTGCCCATGCAGAAAGGAAAAATACTTCGCCATTGGCTTATTATCCCCCAAATATAACTTGACTTTATTTCTTTAAAGAAATATCGGCTTCTCAAATTCAGATCACCCAAGATATATGCCTTGAAGGGTTTTGCTGATTCTTTGAGGCATTTTCTGTGGCTCAACACTTAATGTTGCAGCTTATTACGAGACAAAGGAGACTTTTATCTTAAACTTCTTGTTTTGCTATAGAAGTGGTTATGATACTATTATTATTACTATTGTTATTAATGATGAGAATAATAATTTGTATTGCTGTAGTACTTAGAAATTCAAGTGAAGAATCTTGCTCTAACAAACCAAGCTGTGTACTTACTTGCCTGTTTTTATTTAAACTGCTATACTCACTTTTTTCAGACTGCAAGTCAGTGAGGAGTGAGTATATAATGTGTCCCCTTGGACCAGATGTAATTTCTTTCTATTCAAGAGATGTGGAGACATATATCTCTTCCTGTCATAGGGACAGATGTGCTTTATAACTCTCTGTACCCTTGACAAGAGCAGCTCTTAGCAACAGCTGATTTTCCTGTCTAATACTCTTGGAACGGGTCTCTCCCCTCCCTGTATATTTGCTGCTAAGTGAACAAGTTCAGCTCTGTTTGGAATCTGTGGGCCATTTTCTGCTCAAAGCAACTCAAAGACAATGTCAAAGCAAAGTGTTGCTTACGCCTTCCTCTCAGAACAAGTCATTCATATAAGAGATGAAACAATGAAGACTTGCACACGGGTTTCTCCCTAGGCTACATCACCATTTTTGCTTACGGATTTTGATTTGCTCTTCAAGAATGCAGAGCCTCTGAGCATATTTTTGAGAGAATTCAATCCTGAGGGAATTTTCTATTTTTAATATGGCGGTAAATGAGTAACAGATAAAATTTAATAGGGGGTTACCAAAAATAGATTATATCAGAAAAATTTACTGTCTTTTTCAAATATGATTTTTCTGGACAACTGAAAGGGGGACAAGGCCATTGTCTGGATGTCAGCAAAGCAGAGGCACATAAGTTAAATTTGGGAATTAAAGTGCAAGAGCTGTAATCCGGGTAAGAAGAGGATTAAAGAGGAGATGGCAATGGAAAAGGTAGAAAGAGAAAGTATCTCGCTGGATGGAGGGAGGTTATTAGCGGACTTCCTCTTGCGTATTTTTCCAGGTCAACCTTGTTTAATATTTTCAGTAACGATCTCTGATCTCTGTTCAAAAAATAGAAATCAGTGCTGAGGAAATCACTGATGATGTATATAGTCAAGGTCTCATCAGTGCAAAAGAAGATGAGAGAGAAGGAAGTGAATAAATTAGTAGAAGTAAGATGAAGTAAGATGGAATTCACAGAATCACACAGAATCACAGAATGGTTGAGATTGGAAGGGACCTCTGGAGATCATCTAGTCCAACCTCCCTGCTCAAGCAGGGACCTCTAGAGCACATTACCCAGGATTGTGTCCAGATGCCTTTTGAATATCTCTGGGCAACCTGTTCCGGGGCTCAGTCACCCTCACAGGAAAGAAGTTTTTCCTCAGGTTTAGATGGAACTTCCTGTGTTTCAGTTTCTGCCCGTTGCCTCTTGTCCTGTCACTGGGCACCACAGAGAAGAGTCTGGCCCCATCCTCTTGACACTTTTCCTTCAGATACTTATACATGTTGATAAGATTCCCCCCTCAGTCTTCTCTTCTCCAGGCTACACAGGCCCAGCTCTCGCAGCCTTTCCTCATAGGAGAGATGCTTCAGTCCCCTCATCATCTTAGTAGCCCTTCCCTGGACTCTCTCCAGGAGCTCCATGTCTCTCTCATACTGGGGAGGCCAGAATTGGACACAGTACTCCAGGTGAGGCCTCACCAGCATACCATTGGCCTTCTTGGCCACAAGGGCACATTGCTGGCTCATGGTCAACTTGTCCACCAGGACTCCCAGGTCCTTCTCGGCAGAGCTGCTTTCCAGCAGGTCAACCCCCAGCTTGTACTGGTGCCCGGGGTTCTTCCTCCCTAGGTGCAGGACCCTGCACTTGCCTTTGTTGAATTTCATGAGGTTCCTGTCTGCCCAGCTCTCCAGCCTGTCCAGGTCCCTCTGAATGGCAGCACAGCCCTCTGGTGTGTCAGCCACTCCTCCCAGTTTAGTTTCATCAGCAAACGTGCTGAGAGTGTGCTCTGTGCCTTCATCCCGGTCATTGATGAATACGTTGAACAAGACTGGACCCAGGACTGACCCTGGGGAACACCGCTAGCTACAGGCCTCCAACTAGACTCTGCACCACCGACCACAACCCTCTGAGCTCAGCCATCCAGCCAGTTCCTAATCCACCTCACCGTCCACTCATCTAACCCACACTTCCTGAGCTCAGCTATGAGGATGTGATGGGAGACAGTGTCCAAAGCCTTGCTGAAGTCCAGGGAGACAACATCCGCCTGTTCTTCTGTCATCCACCCAGCCAGTCATTCCATCATAGAAGGCTATCAGGTTGGTTAAACGTGATTTCCCTTTGGTGAATTCATGGTGACTACTTCTGATCCCCTTCTTGTCCTCTACATGCTTAGGGATGGCCTCCAGGATGAGCTGTTCCATCACCTTTTCAGAGATGGAATCAAATGGCATGCAAAGTTGTGCATTTCAGGACTCAAAAGAAGAAATCCTTTTAAAAGACAGGAGCCTGTCTTTTTTTGTCATTTATGGGAAATGACTGAGGAAAAGGACCTGACCACAGCATAACAGTGGATCACAGAATAATAACTGATTACTGTTGCCAGCGTAACACAGTTGCTTAGGAAAAACAGGCAAGCATGGATCCTGCAAGATCTTGTTAATGTGCAATATCTGCTTCTCACCACCCCAACCATTGAGTTATGTACTATGTACAGGGCTAGTCACCCAGAAAGAGGAAATCGAACTGAAAGAGGAAATCAAACTGAAAGAGGTGCAGATGAAAGGGAATGGCGAGACC